TACATATTAGTGACTGAAAAATAAATGAATTGTACATTACAAGGACAAAAATAACAATAAACTGTAATTTTGAGGAGAAAAAAAACAACAAATTATAAACGATAGGGATGAAAATCATAACTTTAAAAGCACAAGGGTAAAAATAGAAATTTGTTACAAACCACAAGGACTAAAAACGTAGTTTACTCAAATTTATATTTCCATGGGCTTTGCAAGATGACCCAAATATAACACTACTGGACTTCTCAATACAATATAGTGATGATGGCCAAATACTGGTCCCGGGCCGGGCCGGGTCGGGTTAGTCCCAAGATTTCTTATAACTGATCACGGTTCCGTTCAAAAAAGTTGAGTTCGGTCAAGCTTTATTGTAACCGGTTATGGGTTGCCGGTTCCGGTCATTAAAAAATAAATTTTTTATTTTTATTTTTTAATGATATATATTTTTAATACATTATAAAACTTGTAATTTGGTCACTGAAATACACTTTAAAAGTGTGTTTTATTATAATTATAATTACATTGTCTTACAAAATATAGCGAGAAACCGATAATTGTAAACGTTTTTTTGCGTTTTTTGCGGATCGAAAACGTGGTATGTAAATCTCTCAACCAAGACAGTTTATATATAGTGTTTAGAAAGTAAAAAATAAAAAAAGGGCCAAAAAACAGTTACATATAAAAAAAATAGTTACATTTTTTTAAAATCGGGCCGGGCCATAACCGATCCCGGTCGGTCCCGGTCCCACGAAACACCCCAAATCCATAACCGGTCCCGGACCGGTTTGGCCATCACTAAATTATACAATAGAAACAAAAAGAAAAAAAAAATTGAAACTTTATAACATTTTCAATTAAATATTTGAATAAAAATGGAGGTTTCTTTGCATAATGAGTGACTAATGAATATAATCCAAATTGTTACATGAATTAAGTATTCGGGTAATCGGTTGAATTATTAATCATTTATCATGTTGATGTGACGAGTGATGTGGTATCCAATTCAGTATTATTTACTGACGTAGTTAGTGACATGGATTTTTTTTAAACGAAAATTTTCATCGGTGACAGCTATTGTATTCCTTTTAGCTGTATCACAATGCAAGACACATAAACCAACTGCAATTAGATCTTGACAAAAATTAATACGAGATATTCGAAAATGCCCAAAACAAAAAATACATCTCGATACATCAAATGATAAAGATACAGTATCACGAAACGATTTTGTGTAGATTACGAGATCTGAAAACAGATATCGAACCAAATGTGCCAAAACTATTGAATTATGGGCGTGGATTTTATTCTTGTAAAATCATGAATAATGTATAGCGTTATTCACATGTAAATAAATATGAATGATATAAGCACATGCATACAGAAGAAAACAGGAGACATTATATTATGGGATGTGTGAAGCATTGGTATGTGTTTTTGTTTTAAGCATGCATTGCTACAACTTGATATAAAAACCATATGCTTTCGATCTTCATATTCTCTCTCATTTCATACCGGACATAGTAAACGACAAAAAAAACGGTTTATTCTAGTATGTGTATATATATATAGGTGGGTTATTATACAATCTATTACATTTGTAGAATCAATACAACTCAATCTTAACCGTTGATGAATATGTAATTTTATAGAAGTTTTGTTTGTTTCTTAATATAAAGTATTAATCATAATTAATGAACATTATTCATCTTTCATAAATGTTTAAATCATAATAAATGAACTCTTATAATTTCCATAAATATTTCAATTTATTAGGTTGCATTGGTTGTATAAATGTGATAAGTTGCATTTCAAACAAATTCTCTCTCTCTCTCTCTCTCTCTATATATATATATATATATATAGAGAGAGAGAGAGAGAGATAAAGCAGAGAGATGAAATGCAAACTCGCATATTTGTACAAACCGTGCAAACCACCTTCATCTGTCGATTTCATTGTTTAATCTTATGAAATTGTTTCATATAATATTTTTAGACGAAGTTGTTTTCATATATGGTTATGAAACTGTTTCATAATACTTATGAAATTTTAATGAAGTTGTTTTCATGTAATTCTCTAAATTAATATAATGAAAATGATAATATCCATGATTAACACATTTCACAATAAATATTATTAATCAACCTCACATAATTACAAAAAAAAAATATGAACAAAATGAAAAATTATTATTGATTGAATGAGGTTTGTACGGTTTGTACAAATAACATGGTTTGCAAAGTAAACTTCCTTTATATATAAACACCATTTAAATGATAAAATAACAATTTTAGCCAGGTGTATGTGTGTGTATATGTAGCCCTATTTTCTTTTACAAACCAAATAATAAATATGAACTTATACCACTTTTTTTGGGTTGTTTCACGAAAATGCAGTGTTTATAAATGTTGTTTCACATGTAAAATGTTCAGAGTTTTTTTTTTTCACATACATATGAAACAACATCATATCAACATTACATTTTTACACACGTTGTTTCATATATGAAATAATACATGAAAATTGATTTGTAAGTTTATACAAACTATCAGGTTTATAATTAATTATGCGCCTTAGTGGCTTTGAGAACTCCAAAATTTGTAAGACCATTGAGAACTTTTAGCCTAAGGTTTTGTTTTATATAATCTTTTTCATTCTAAATATTGTATTTAATGTACTGATTAACATATATTTGTTTTACAATGTATTTGTTTCATATGTATTCGTTCATGGTGTGAAACTTTTTTACGTGTATTTTTTGTTTTACAAACACACCAATATGTACACATTATAAACCTAGCACACGTGAAACAAATATATGTTAATCACAGCATTAAATTTTAACTATAGATAGAAAAAAAAACATATAAAATAGTATATGATGCACTGATTCTTAAATACCTTACGATTTACAAAATTCTTAAAAGAAGCCAACAAGGTCCCCACACCTGTCTTTGTGAGACCTGTGAGACCACTTTGGTCTCACGTGCCACATTTTATATATATGCAAATGATCGTGTGAGAAAAAAGTTATGCTGAGATCTATAAGAATGGATCTGAACCCTTTTCATTTTTAATCTCATGCACATCCATGAATTGCGTTTAGAATAAAATTGATTTGGTGCATCTTATTAGTCTTATCATTCAATTAAGATTGATTTATAAGTTGATATATTTTTTTACACTTCTCATTATAACTTATTTTCTCAATAGAACTCAACCCCATATATATATATATATATATATATATATATAKAKAGAGAGAGAGAGAGAGAGAGAGAGACTTGGGATCGTGTGAGGCCAAGTGTTTTTCATGAGACTCGTAAGACCAATTCTCAACTCTTAGATTAAATTTATAATCTGAACATTCATAATCACAAAATTGTCACGTGACTTTGCAATAATCATAAAATTGCCACATGCAACTTTAGACAATCAGATCATTAGTTTATAAATTTGATCAATGAATATAAATTGGTTTAACGAGTCACATAAAAAATCTTTGGTTTCACGTGAACCCAACCATATATATATAATTACGACTCTATCCTTGTATGCATGGATGCAAGACGTGTCATATTTTCCTAGTTTTTATGTTAATATGGAATCTTAAATTATAAAAAACATTACCGTAAAAATAAAATAATAGACAATAAAAGAGTCCGACATCTGTTGAAGGCCGACAAAAGTAGGTCTAAAGACCTTAAGTCATGGGCAAAAAGGTAATATTACCGAAAACATATGTAAATGTCTTTGGGACCATACCATTTCCCCATTAATTTAAAAAAAAAAACACTACTCCTACTTTCATGAATTTTTTGTTTTATGTTTTGAATTTATTATTCTTTTTACTTTTTATCTGTTTTTTGTAATCATAGATTTATGGGTATTCAGATCAGTTTATGAATGTCGACTCATTATTTGAGCGATCATGAATGGCCTGAAATCGTTACAGGTGAACCTTTGTCACAACAACAGCTTTGACAGTGCTCGGATTCAAACTCAGGGAAGATGAGATTGTCACGGTATCTTCTAAGACTTCACTAGTGTTACAATTTACCCATAAGCGTTTACCTGGAAAGTAAATGATAGTGTTAAAATTTACTGATAAGCGTTTACCGGGTAAGTGTTTGATAAACGGTTTCCCTAAGCCTTTTGAGGATTTTCCTAATGAGTCATCATTTTAAGGTTTACAAAGTCATTGTGAATTTTTCTAACTACTTTCCAAGATTATTGGGATTAGTTGAGGTGTGCATAAACTGACTCGAACACATGTTAAAAAATTGTTTAACATTTGTCGTATGTATGTGAAGATAAAGATTAGAAAATATGAATAAAAGGGTATTTTTGTCATTTATATTGTGTTGTATGAAATATTATTTTTAGATAAATTATCATAATTTAATTTTTCTTTTTTTATTCCTAAAAATATTTATAAAAAATGTTGTATGTATACTTATTTAGGTATTTTTCCTAAGTATAACCTTAATTTGACATGTTATTTTACAGTAACTGTCAACATAATATTGTGCAGGCGACGTGGCCGGCGACTAGCCAAAGTTACGTGAATCATATGTGATTTTACACATGATTATATTGAAAAATCACATGTAATTCGACCATTTTTTATTCTTTTACTTGGTTATTATTCTCGTATGAAACAGACTCAACATAAATATGTTGTATGTATACTTATTTAGGTATTTTTCCGAAATATAACCCATAAGCCGACCATTGAGTTCGGTCCCGCCAATTAAGCCTCCTTCCCCAGCCGAGCCCATGTGCCCTAATCGTTAAAAACATAGAAAAATACAACTAACGACCCTTCAATATTTTATTTTTTTGTTTAGGTACCCCCAATTTTTTGTCCTTATTAGATTGACCCACCCTATACCCCAAAGTCCAAACTTCAAATACTAGTATATAATTACCAACTCCACATCTTTCCATTTCATAAAAAACAACAGATCACAAGCTGAAGACGATAATGATGAAGTTCAGATCGATGAAATTGTCCAGAAGCTTCTCCAAATTACGTTGTGGCAGGGGCAACGACAAAAGCAGTAGCAACGACAACAGTGTTAGCTTCAAAAGATGTAATGCTACCATCGGTGGAGAAGTTAGATGGGAATTACGACCTGGTGGGATGCTTGTTCAAAAGAGAGAGATCGGGGATGAAAGCGTTGAAGAAGGGGTTTTGGTGGTGAGGGTTGCAACCGGTTCCCAGTGGCATGACATATCCATCCAAGCCACTTCTACTTTTGGTAATTTGTATATCACTAGCATCTGTCTTGGTTTTGCAGCCCATAACAATAAAATAAGTATATATGTATCGTCAGGTTTCATGGTGGCAATTATGAATGGGATGTCTGTCCAGGGAAATTGTCTTTTTCATGAATGCGAAATACTGTTGTTTTTTACAGGAGAGCTGAAGATGATATTGTCGATGGTTACTAACTTGGAGCCAAAAGAGCAAAGACTACTGTTCAAAGGGAAAGAGAGAGAAGACGACGAATATCTACACATGGTTGGTGTTAGAGACAAAGACAAAGTCCTGATGCTACAAGATCCGGCCACCAAGGAAAGGAAACTTGCCGCAAATGCAATGATAGCTCCCTGTCGTACAATTGTTGTATAAAATAAAGTACTGATGGCATACAGAATCAGCAAACCGTGTTCTCTTACTAACTCCAACAAAGGGTTTGTGTTATTTACATGCCGACTAGTCTTTCTTCTATCTCCTCTTCGATCAACCAGACTTTGATTAACCAGCAGTCTACTAGAGGCTCGTATCTTCTCTAGGTTTGAAGTTTTCAAACCAGAAGCAATGTACATATTTTATTCCATGATAATTGCATCATAAACTTTGGTTGCTTGAAGTTCCAAGCGCTGGTTTAGATATCTTTAATGTTTTTTTTAAGTATATAATATTTTTATACGGCAAATGCAACAAATAAATTCACATACCTTCCTCACCTTTGGTGAGATTTGAACCATTGACCTTCTAGGAGGCTAAAGACTACGATACCACTAGGCTAAAAGACTTTTGATTATGTTGATGAATGTTTCAATTTACTTTTCTGTCAATTAACTATAAAAAATATTTTTCCACTCTTCTTGAAAAAATAACAGTTATTTTTAGTGTATATCAGTTATATTAACTACACTTTTGAGAGATAAATAAGTCCAGAAGTGCATGCGCAGATCTAAAAATGATTCGGTAATAATTAATATTAATATCTTTATTTACGTAGATTTTCTCATAAGTTAACATGATTAATTAAATTATAACGTTCTATAATTTTTGTGATGGAACTTGAATCTCATTTATTTTTATTTTAACCAAATATGAATTTCAAATTCACGACATTTCAATTTTAAATCTCGACCATTTTGACAAATATCGTTAGATGAACGAAGGGTCGTTTATGACTTTTTCTTACAAATAAAGTACACAAATAAAATACTTGCAAATCTACGTATATAAAAAGTGGGAAAAAAACAAATAAAAGGCACTAATAAATGCTATAACGGATAAATTTTTGAAAACACGATGCCCTAATAAAAAGTATTTTGAAAGCATATTGTTGTAATAAGAAAAACTAAAAGTAGAATGCTATAATATTTATTTTATAAAAATAGGTTGCTATTTCATACATTTTACCCATTTATTACCCCTTTTAATTACATATCTCAATAATCATATATATTATAGTATTTAATAATATACAGTTATCCTTTTGCAATCATGTAGGTTACATTATTTACATTCAATTTTAATTTAATTAATGAAAATGATATCATCAAACAAAAGGACAACCAAAACCATTTAACATGTGATTTGGTGTATGAGTGACCACTTATTGCGGAAATCTGATTAAGAACTAAGAAAATGACATAAAGCAGTATAAGTTGATAGTGTTAAATGCAAATAATGTCAATCAACTTTTACTTAATTTGGTTCTGGTTGTGGCTTTTAACCTGACTTTTGTTTTTTTTTTCCTGGTGTTTATAAATTTATCTGGTTTCCCTTTCAAAAAAAGAAACTTCTACTTAATTTATACTTTTGCCACCAAAGTTTTCGCTATTTCGTGTATTATTTTTTTTACCAGAAGAAAGTTCAGTTGTAAACCTAATTTCTGTTATTAACTGAAAAACTACCGAAAGTGTCACACGTGTCTCTATTTATTATGAATCATGAATACGTGAATCTTTTTACAACATTAACGATTAATGATATATCAATCATAATGAATGGTGATGGATGTTACTGGCACATGACACACTCTCGTTGATCACCCGGTTCGTAACAAAAATCAGGTTGTCAACCAATATGCTCCTTAATGAAATTTTGATTTCAAAAACCGAATTAAAAATTATATAAAGATTAATTTTATTTACTATTACTAATATATTTATGATAAACATAACGCATTGTTTGGTAAATATAAGCTAACTTATAAGCTAAATTGTTTTTGAAGTACATGTTTGGATAGACATAAACTAACTTATAAACGAGTTTATTGAAAAGTTAGTTAGGAGTAGTTTATTAGGAGCTTTTAATCACTTTTTCTGATTATAATTGCTAATTAATATTAATTGTTATTAATTTTAATTTATTTATTAATTTTAATTTATTAGTTAATTTTATTTCAATTTATTAATTAATTTTAATTATTAATTAACGTTAGTTTCAAGTTATTAATTAATTTTAGTCGTAAATTATCCATATTGATTATTTAGAATTATTATTAGTTTTATTAATTATTTTATATTTTTGTTATTCAATATATTCAGTTGTAAAAAATATATATAATACTTTTGTAAATTACATACAATTTAAAATTATAACCACAAGGATGGTGCCTGATTGGTTTGAGCTTGACTTCAAAAGTCAAAATTACCAGGAGGTCTTAGGTTCAAATCCAAGGAGGAATAAAAATCTTCTTGTAGCCACGGAGGTTCAAATACGGTGACTCCGGGTTATCTGCAAAGCATGTGGTCGCACTGAGATTAATCGACTCGCATAACGGATTGGATATCCAGGTTAATCAAAAAAAATTATATATTTCTTTGTTTCATAAATAATAATAAAAATTATTTAATTTGATTACTTTTTCTAAAAAGTTATTAACAAACTAAGATATGTAAGAATGATAAACTTTATTTATATTTATATTTATATTTATATTTATATTATATATAATAGTTATTTAAAATCATCATTTAATGTAGATATTTTCTAAAATTTGTATTTAACTATTAATTTTTAAACATGTCATTTTTAATCATTTTACAGTTCTCAACTAGCTTAACAGCTAATTTTTTGTCAAACGTATTTTGTTCATTAATTAACTAACTTATCAACTATCAGTTAACTTATCAGATAATTTACCAAACTATAGCTTAAATATTTAATCGTAGAGATATAATAATTAAAAGATTTGGTGAGGTTTCACTAGACACCAAAATAAAGGGTTGGTCCCAATTTTGAGTAGTCCCAAGTTAAAGAGGTGATGATAAATCAGTGAAAGGTTCCTTTCTTTGCGCATGCCACCTTTTTAATGTCGCAAATCTACACAAAATGGGAAACTTCATCAAATTAATTTTATTTTTTAATTAAATTAAATTAAATTTTAGGCATAGTTGATGTAAAAGCTTATTATTTTTTAATTATATTTTATTAATATGAATTAAGTATTTTATATTGATTAAAAAATAAAAT